GTGAGGGGGCGTGGTTTAAAATGGGGGCGTGGCTTAGCGTTGCTAGGAGACGGTGAGGGCGTGGCTTGAAATGGAGGCGTGGTTTGGCGTTGCTAGGAGACCGTGAGGGGCGTGGTTTAAAATGGGGGCGTGGTTTAAAATGGGGGCGGGGTCTGTTGTTGCTAGGAGACTGTGAGGGGCCTGTTTTAAAATGGGGGCGTGGCTTAATGTTGCTAGGAGATTGTGAGGGGCGGGGTTTAGCGTTGCTAGGATACAGTGAGAGGGCGTGGTTTAAAATGCAGACAGATTTGGGCGTTGCTAGGAGACGGTGAGGGGGCGTGGTTTAGAAATGGAGGCGTGGTTTTGTCGTTGCTATGAGACCGTGAGGGGCGTGCTTTAAATGGGGGCGTGGCTTAGCGTTGCTAGGAGACGGTGAGGGGCGGGGTTTATAATGGGGGCGTGGTTTAAAATGGGGGCGGGGTTTAGCGTTGCTAGGAGACCGTGAGGGGCGTGGTTTAAAATGGGGGCGGGGATTGTCGTTGCTATGAGACAGTGAGGGGCGTGGTTTTAAAATGGGGGCGTGGCTTAGCGTTGCTAGGAGACGGCGCGGTCCGCCGATATCCCAGGGTGCATTGCGAAGAGGCGGTTTGGGCCTAAAAATTGGGATTTTGGGGCTAAAAATTGGGATTTTGGGGTTGAAAATTTGGATTTTCAGCCTAAAATTGGGATTTGGGGGATAAAAATTGGGAGTTTGGGGCAAAAAGTGGGAGTTTGGAGGTAAAAATCGGAATTTTACAGCTGAAATGGGGATTTTGGGCCTAAAATTGGGATTTTGGGGCTAAAAATCGTGAATTTTGGGCTAAAATTGGGATTTTGAGCTAAAAAATGGGAATTTGGGGCTAAAAATTGGGATTTTGGGTTCAACAGGTGAAGTTTGGGGTTCAAGAAACAAAAATTTGGGCTCCATTTTGACTCAATAAAAACTTTTTATTTATTATTTATTTTTATTTCCTTTTTTTTTATTTCCCTCCCGTTGCTAAAAATTTTTTTTCCGTTTTTCCATCAAAATTTTTTTTTGCCGTTTCGTAAAAAATTTTCCTCGTTTTTCTCTCATTTTCATTCCTTAAAATTTCATTTTCTTTCCTATTCTTCTTTTTCCTTTTCTCGGGGAATTCCGGAGATTTTTTTTGGATTTTTTGGGGTCTTTTCAGTCTTTTTTTTTTTTATTTTTTTCAGTGGTTTTTTTGGGTATTTTTGGCGGTTTTTTGGGTTCTTTTCCAGGTTTTTGTTTTGGGAATAATTCTGAGGATTTCGGGGCCATCTCAGGGTCATTTTTGAGTCATTTTCAGCCATTTTGGGGGTATTTTTGTGTCATTTTCCACCATTTTTGGGTCATTTCCCGTCAATTCTGCCATTTTTGGGTCATTTTTGGGTCATTTTCCACCATTTTTGGGTCCTTTTCCACCATTTTTGGGTCATTTTCAGCCACTTTTGGATCATTTTCAGCCATTTTTGGGTCTCTCCAATCTGGATCCATTCAGAGGATTTTTCAGTCATTTTTGGGTCATTTTCCGTCGATTTTGGGTCATTTTCAGCCATTTTTTGGGGTTCTTTGTCATTTTCAGCCATTTTTGGGTCATTTTCAGCCATTTTTGGGTCATTTTTGGGTCATTTTTCACCATTTTTGGGTCTCTCCAATCCGGATCCATTCCAAGGTTTTTTCAGTCATTTTTGGGTTATTTTCCATCGATTTTGGGTCATTTTTGGGTCATTTTCAGTCATTTTTCATCGTTTTTCAGCCATTTTTGGGGTTTTTTTGTCATTTTCAGTCATTTTTCGGTCATTTTCAGCCATTTTTTGGGGGTTTTTTTGTCATTTTTGGGTCATTTTCCGTCGGTTTTCAGCCATTTTTGGGTCATTTTCAGCCATTTTTGGGGCATTTTTTGCCGTTTTTGGGTCTTTCCAATTCAGGATAATTCTGACGATTTCGGTGCCATCTCAGGGTCAATTTTGGGTCATTTCCCGTCGATTTTGGGTCATTTTCCGTCGATTTTGAGCCGTTTTTGGGTCATTTTCCATCAATTTTGGGTCTCTCAGAACAGGGACACTTTGAAGGATTTTTGCTGCTGTCTCAGAGTCATTTTTGGGTCATTTTCAGTCATTTTTGGGTCATTTTTTGCCGTTTTTGGGTTTTTTAAATCTGGGATCATTCTGACGATTTCAGTGCCATCTCAGGGTCATTTTTGGGACATTTTCATCCATTTTTAGGTTATTTTGGGGGGATTTTTGGGTCATTCTCCACCGTTTTTGGGTCTCTCCAATCCGGATCCATTCCGAGGGTTTTTTCAGTCATTTTTGGGTCATTTTCCGCCATTTTTGGGTCATTTTCAGTGGATTTTTTTTTGTTTTCCGTCGATTTTGGGTCATTTTTGGGTCATTTTCAGCCATTTTCCGTCATTTTTGGGTCATTTTCTCCCATTTTTGGGTCTCTCCAATCCGGATCCCTTCCGAGGTTTTTTCAGTCATTTTTGGGTCATTTTTGGGTCCTTTTCCGTCTATTTTCAGCCATTTTGGAGTCATTTTCCATCAATTTTGGGTCATTTTAAGCCATTTTTTGGGTTTTTTTGTCATTTTCAGTCTTTTAGGCTCATTTTCAATGGATTTTTTTTCATTTTCTGTCGATTTTGGGTCATTTTTGGGTCATTTTCAGTCATTTTTGGGTCATTTTCATCCATTTTTGGGTCATTTTCAGCCATTTTTGGGTCATTTTCCGTCGATTTTGGGTCTCTCAGACCAGGACCTGTCCCTTCTGGGTGGGGAGGATCCCAAATCTGCGTTTCAGGGCCAATCGGTGCCGGGAGAATTTGTCATCGGGGGAGAATCGGGCGGGGTGGGCGGAGCGGGTGGGGACCCCGCTGGGGGAGACCTTCTGGGGGTGGAAAAAAATGGAAAATTTGCATTAAAATCATGAAGAATTTACCCAAAAATCACACAGAATTTACCCAAAAATTTACAAAAAAATTCTGCTCAAAATGTGCTCGAAATTGTCCCAAAATTTACCCCAAAAATCAGTGCAAATACCCTAAAATTTACCCGAAATTCAGCCCGAAATAGCCCAAAATTTACCCTAAAAATCCTCCAAAATTTACCCCAAAAATTCTCCAGAATTTACCCAAAAAATCTGCTCGAAATCACCCAAAATTCACCCCGAAATTGTGCCCAAAATCACCCAAAATTTACTCCAAAATCCCCCAGAATTCCCCCAAAAGTTCTGCCCAAAATCATCCAAAATTTACCCGGAAAATCACACAGCATTTACCCCAAAAAATCTGCTCAAAATAGCCCAAAATTTACCCCAAAATTGTCCCAGATTTACCCCAAAATTTTGCCCAAAATCCCATTAATATTTAGCCAATAATTACCCAAAATTTACCCCAAAATCCCCCAGAATTTACCCAAAAATTCTGCCAAAAATCACCCAGAATTTACTCCAAAATCCCCCAGAATCCCCCAAAATTTACCCCAAAAATTCTGCCCAAAATTTACCCCCAAAATCACACAGAATTCACCAAAAATTCTGCTCAAAATACCCCAAAATTTACCCCAAAATCGCCCAAAATTTACCCTGAAAATCCCCCAGAATTTACCCAAAAAAATCTGCTCAAAATTTGGCTGAAATCGCCCGAAATTTACCCCAAAATTCTGCTCAAAATGTGCCTGAAATTGCCCCAAAATCACCCAAAATTTAGCCCAAAAGAGGCAAAAATTTACCCCAAAAGAGCCCAAAATTTGCCCCAAAATACCCCAGAATTTACCCAAAAATTCTCCAGAATTTACCCAAAATTTACCCCCAAAATC